TTGCAAATTAAACTCTATTGACTTATTTTATATACAAATATCCATCAGTTGTAGCAGAAATAAAGTGACAGAAAACCTGACCCAGTTTCTTCCTCAGTGAGATTCTGACACTGGGAGCAGGTTACTGGTTTCTCAGTCAGAAGCTGGTTTCAGACCAGCAGGTGTCAGTCAGTCATGGTGGATCTGAACTTTGGTTTGATGACCTCAGTATGAGAAACTACAGACTGATAGGAGGAACCAGAGAGCCCAATAAAGGCAAATCTTCTGAAGTCGGGATATAATTAATTTAATTTCACATAATTATCGCTGTAGAATTAGTTAAAACTTAATGAAATATATTTGTCCCATTTGATGTTGTGACGTGTGCTCACAAAGAACGAGGTCATCAGTCCAAGTTTGTCGTTTATTGAATGTTCAGAAACTGCAGCAGGTGTGATGAGCCACAGCAACGGTAAACAGGTAAAACAACCCGAACAGGTGATCAACTCTAAACCACTCCCACCTCTTTACTCTCCATCTCTTTGTCGTTTAAGCCACCCGTTGCCGTGGCAACCGCCTGCGCCCCGCACGCCGAGCAGAGACTTTAAAAACATTCAGTCCGTTACAGTATCAGGTTTCCAGGCTTGATATTTATTCCTGGATTATTAATAAGCCTCTCATGGACACAGCGCATTTAAACTCCTGCTCTGCTCTGTCGGTCTTTGAGTCGCTTTTTGTTTTTTTGTTTTTTTGTTTTTTTGTTTTTTTTTTGTTAATGGAACCGAAACACACTGAATTGCGCAACACCTTTTTGAAACAATAATTACTGAGATCATTAATTTTAACATGTTTCGTTGACTTTTATACGTATTCTTTTTTAATGAAGCTACAAACGTTTCGGATCTTGGTGAATATTTCTGATGAGCCTGTCAGGAGGACCTGCTGCTCTCAGCTTCCTGGTGGCGATCAGTTTGTCACCTGCTGAGATCGACTCAAAACCTTCCCGATCGACCGATCGATCGCGATCTACGTATTGGGCACCCCTGCTCCAGTCCCTGCATCAATAACATCCTTTTTCTGTTGTTCCATCACATAAAATCTTAAAACACGTGAAAGTTTTGGTTGTATTTTGTCAAAATGTAAGAAACGGTTTAATAATTTTGCTGCCTGTCTGGACAACAGTCACATTAAGTTGATGAAGGAACGTCCTTGGCCTCTGAACCCTGCAGGATGTTTCCATAATGTCCACACCTGCACCTGTCCTTACAGATGCCTGAATAAATTAAATTAGCACATCAAACCGAGCCTGAGATCTTTTCTGTTTGGACTCGAGGAAATAAGACCCAGTGAAGCTGAGTGAAAGTAATGATCCTGTTCTGAATCAAGTGGACCGATCCCACATGCTAATAGGTGAAACCTTGATAATCTCCTAATAAAAGCCCTTCCTCCTCGTCTTCATGCACCTCAGCATCTTTTATTCTAATTCAGCGTTCATGTTTCCTTTCAGCCTGGAGCAGGCCGTCTAAATGGAGCCTCCATTAGCATTTCATCCATAATCAGCAGCCTGAGGAAACCTGTTGAGATGCATTTCCTGCCGAAGCCCCTCCTGTTAAAGCAGAGCCATTAATGGCGGTCAGGGCGCCGCGTTCTCTCCTCGCTCATCAATATGTGCTGAAGCTCTGGAAACCAGAGAGGGAGCAGCCGAGGAGCACAACAAACGTAGAAATGTTTCCTGAAATGCACAAAGTATTTTTATGTTCAGCTACGGGAAACATTTGAATCTTGCAGGCGTCTCGTGTTTCCTGAATCCTGCAGTTTTGTTGTATAATTTCACTTCCTGGACGGACATTTATCATGTCGTTTATTGTGATACATTTTTTATCATGAGAATTTTTACTTATTTATTGTCTCCACTATTTTTTCACTGAAATAATCAAATATCAATGAATTTGAAAATCATATTAAAGGCAGTTACTGTGTGCAGTTAATGATACAAGTCATATAATTTATTTAACTGACTGGTGTCCTAAAGAAACACGCTTCACATTTTTTAAAGTGTTTGTGGAGCTTTGATTACAGCCAAACCTGAATTTACCAGGGAATAAATAATTCTGATTGTCAGTTTTATTGTTATGAATGATTGTGATAAAACCTTTAAGTTCACATCCCAGCTCTGCTTCCTGGAGTATTTTCACTTGTTGGTTGTGATTGGTTCGTTTTTATCCAAGCTGAACTCTGATTGGATGAAAACGATCCGTCTGTCTTCGCTGTCAGGATTCATATGCTGGACAGATTCCTGCCATACTTTGTATGAAAGACATGAAATTTCACATCTTTTTGGCCCTCTTGGTGTTCCATACATGAGGAGCAGGAACATCACAGCAGAGAGAATTAAGTGATGATGGACATGAACACGGAACAACACAAATTATTAGGGATTCACCAAAACTGATTTTCTCATTCCAGAGATGATACCTGGAAATAAAACGGTCAAGTTTTCTGTTTTTAAAAGAAGATATAAAATGTTGAACTAGAAAATTAAGTCAACAGAAATCTCAAATGAAGATCTATTTAACTAAGATGTTTGATTAATATTAAAAACAAGATGTCTAGAATTGATCAGGGATTTAATATGAAAAGATTTAAAAATATTGAATTAGGGAAAACGCCGTCAGTCCCCAGAGAGGCAGGAGCCTCCTTCCTGCCAACCGTCCAGGTTCCAGCCGCTCTTATCTGAGCGGCGGCTCTGGGGATCCTCCAGGTTATAAAACATGTTTTTTCTTTTTGCAGCAACAAAAGGATGTAATTTGTGGGTCTCGTCTTTCTGCTTCACCCCAAAACGAATCAGTCAGGCTGTCTTGTTTATGCCTGACTCTAATCAGAAGCGGTGCAGAGCGCTGGGAAGGCGATAAAACGTCAGCAAACAGTCGGAGTGAAGCCGAGCCTCCCAGAGGAGGCGATAAAGCAGAATAATCCGGGTCGGCTGCAGACAGCCGCTCAGGGGGGCCCGGGGCCCTGGCTCCGCTGAGATAGCGTTATCTGGGCCCATCACAGCCACACACACACACACACACACACACACACCAGGCGGACAAAGCCACCTGTGGATGGACACAAACGAGGCTGGGGAGGAAGTTCACCCCCCACAGAGCAGCAGCTGCTTCTTCATCACCACAGCATCACCTTCATCACTTCAGGTGACTGTCCAGATGCAGAACCCGGCTTCGTCCTGCTGCTTCAGGGAATCTGAGTTATTCGGGCCGATCCCGGCGCCGCTGGGCGCCGCGGGCCGGAGGGACGCGGATAAGCCGTGTTTACGCCCCGCTTCCTTCCTCCAGTTTAATTAAAAGCAGATTTGGGATGGAAAAGCACATTTTTTTATACAAGGCAAGGAAACAAAGGCCTGTAACAGGTTGAGCCGTGGTGACGGCGACGGCTAGGTCCGGTTTCTCTGGGCAGAGACACTGAGCTCTGCTGCGCAGCTGGCTGAAAGCTGGAACATCTCTGTGGTTTCAGGTCGTCATCAGCTTCACACTCCAATCACACCTAACTGGGTTTTGCTGGGATTTGGTTTGGTAGAACAACACAAACTGCTTCGTAGTTATGAGGCAGAATCTGAAAAGTGTGGCATGCATTTGGTTTCCACCCAGTTTACTTTGGAACCCTTGAATAAAATCCAAACCTAGATGCTGCCATTCTCAGTGTGTCACAGGCAGCCATATTGGATTGTATCGCTGGGCGAAGCTCTTCAGATTAATGTTAATCTGGTCACCATCAGAACCCATCAGATCCGATGTTCTGGGCTTGGCTGGATAAGGAGATCAGCTGCAGAATGTCTGAAATCTCCTAACATTTTAAAGGGTTTTAAAGGAAATAAATATGACTCACCCTAGAAGCTCTTAAAACTTGTTTTTGCTGTTATCTTTTAAACTCTAAAAAAAAATTTGGGCTGCTTTCTTGGCGAAGATCCTTCTGTAAAAGATTTGTTTCCTGATTAGTGTAGTTGGTTTATGGCTGAAGTATTTTCAGTTTGCTGCTAAAACATCTGCAGCAGATACAGCAGGGGAGTGAAATGAGCCGGGAAAACATAAAACTTTCAATAAAAAAGTTTGTTTTGCAGTGAATATTTGATTACAGGCCGTTTTCCTGTCACGTCTTCTGGTTTAAACAAGCAGACGACTCCAAACTTGTCTGCTCTGATTAATGATAAACCCTGATAGGCTGTTGATCTCCAGATTACACACACAGGCCTCCAGCTCCAACGGTGAGCCTGGCCACCAAGCTGTGCTGCTGTGAAGCTGAAACCTGTTGAATTGACACGTTTATTGCATTAAGGCATGATTGCATTCCCAAACCGCTTAAAAAAGTACAAATGAACACAGAATCGAACAACAATAATCAAACTTATTACAATGAGTCTGGCTTGTTAGTAATAAACTTATTCCCTAAAACTTTTCTCTCCATTTCTGATCAAATCTGTGAAAACAAACGATAGAAATAAAAGAAATCATCAGCCAATCATAAAACCAAAAAAATCATTTTCTGATTAATCAATAAAGAAACAACAGCAAACTGCATAATTCTTCAACAGATTTGGCGCAAAATCATCAACAAATATCCATTTTTACGTAGATTCATAAAAAACACAGCGTAGCTCAAAGCTTACTAGAACTAGCCAGTTTGAGTTATTGCAGTGTAATGTGCTTCATTTTTATAAGAATCAGTAAAAACAATTCAACAATAAACTAAAACAAAACCAAACTGCTGCTGCCTATTAAAAGTGCATAATGTTAGATTTCATGAACTTCTGGTTTTATCAGAGGACAGACGGCGGCTCATCCTGCCCAGCTTCCTGCTGTGTAGATATTAAATCAGCTGTTATGATGTTGTACATGACTGATTTCTAAACTCTTCTTATTGAATCTGAAGTTTATGCATCTCCATTTATGTTCATCTTTAGTCATCAAACATAAACAGTTAATATAAAACGTCAATGCTAATGTAGCACAATAACATCCTGTCTGCCGTGTCAGTTTTTCAGTTTCTCTCTGGAGAGTCGGTTGATGGAGGATCGTTGTGCTTCTGTCCTGTTACTATGACGACAGCCTGGGTCTCCAGGACAGTCAGGTCCCTCATATTCCTGCTCCAGACTCTTCCATTTTCACTCCGTTGATATTCCAGAATGAAATGTCACGGATCTCCATTTCACTGACATGCCTTCTGTCAACCTCTTTAAACCAGTGAGAAAGAATCAAAATTTGCACCAAAGTCTTTATAACGAAACACACATTACACTCCATCATGTTTTAGAGAAGAAAGAAATGAACTGATCCTCATGACGTTATGGTGCACCAGCACAGGTAGGAGGAGGAACACTGTTCATCTCACTATAAAGCAACTTTCTGCTGGATTCACAAGGATGTCGCTTCAACACTTCAACTTCATTCATCACCAGCTTTTGGAGATCAATCAAATGTCTAACATGACATTAACCCTCCACTACAGCACCCTGCCTTAAGTAGGACAGGAGCCTGGCCACTTCAGCCCTTTGCCATTTTTAACTTTGGTCCTTTGATGCTTTAGCGATTATGAAAAGTAGCCAATTACTACTGAAGATATTGTACCAACCGTTGGTCAGTTTCAACCCAGCAGGGAAGGTTTTGCACCGTAAGATCCTACGGCAACGTAAGATCCTACGGCACCGTAAGATCCTTATACAGTTTATGAATGATGCACTTTCCAGTTTATGTAAAAACGTGTGACAGAGTGTACTTCCAGTTGATGACTCTCCACATGATGGCAAACAGAAACATAACAGAACTCTTAAGAACCTATTTAGACAGTTTATCAGCAAAAAAAGTTGATTTGGAGGTTAGTTATACTTTATAAACCAAACGCCCCCTGGTGGATACTCCCTGACAGACGGTTGGTGCAAAGCCATGAAATGGCAAAAGTACAAAGTGGTCAACATGCTTTCAGACCTGTCTTGGAAAAGATTGACTTGTGAATCTCTCTGTAATAAGATTGAACTATTCTATAACTACTTATTGGTGTTATTCATTAAAACAGACAATTACAAAGAAAAATACACTGATCTGCATTGGTTAAGTAAATGGAAACAAAATGAATTGCTTACAGGTATGAAATGAAAGTAGATTGGAACAAAATGGCACAAAATGAACCCGGCTGCAGAAAATAACTTATTAAGGCTAGAAGAAGATGAATGTCAGCATGAGGAGTTTACTCCCCAAATTCTGACCTGATGGGATCTGACACCTGACCCAGAGAAACCGGTTCCAGAGACATGAAGACCTGCTCAGTCAGCGCGGTGTTCATAATGGCTCATCAGTGTGAATGAATAATTCAGTGGTTGCTGGATCGGATTAGAGGAGATGAGATGAGTAGCTGGTTTACGTTTCATTGAGCCGCCCCAGCGGTTGGACTCTTCTCCATGACTGGATGGAGATCTGAGTTCACAGGTAACTCTCCACTCGCTCCCACTGCTGCATCTCAGTGAAGAAGCCCTCGTAAAGGCCAAAGCCCGGATCCAGGGTCAGGGGAATGACCTGCGGCTCCTCTTTAATCTCCTCCCACGGCTGCAGCGCGGCGTCCGCCGGCTGCTCGCCAAACAGCGTGGTGGACTCGTCCAGTTGTTGCAGCTGGTGTTGTCCCTGCAGCAGCTGGTCCTGCTCCAGCTGCGGCCCCTGCAGTGGCTGCGACACGCCAACGGTGCTGCCAATGGAGGTGGCGCTCAGGTCCAGGTAGCTGCAGGATGGATAGTGGGTCACATCCACGCTGCCGCACCACCGCCCCAGGCCTGCCGCGTGGTGCCGGCCGTTCATGGATGCCTCCACCTCGCAGCCCAGCGAGCTCAGCGCCGTGTTCAGGTCCAGATCCTCGAAGGTGCTGCAGCCGCTGCCGAGAACGTCATCGAACACGGACCCCAGGTCAAAGTCCCCCTTCAGGATGTCTGCTTTGTTGGCTTCCATGGCGAGAAGCGGGGACTCTGTGGAGCGCATCAGCTTGCTGCAGTCGGTGGAGGACAGCTGCTTCCGCTTGGCGCCCGCCTGGTGAGGACAGCTGCTGGGGAAGCCCTCCACCAGCTTGCTCTGCCTTGCTGCAGCGCTGCCGCCATAGTGGTTGGCAGACATCCTCCTGCGCTTAAAGATGCCGTTGACGAACATGTCGGCATACTGAGGGTCTATCTGCCAGAAGCCCCCCTTCCCAGGCTCGTCTTTCTGCCTCGGGACTTTCTTGAAACACTTGTTGAGGGACAAGTTGTGACGGATCGAGTTCTGCACATGAAGTACAAAAAAGCACATTTAACACAAGGAAAGGCAGCCATGCAGCAACTAAAACTGTCCATTTGTCAGCAGGCAGCAGCGTGGGCGGCAGGGCTGAGGGGGAGTGTTGTTGTTTATAGAGAAGCTAATGTTGCTAATGAGGCTTTCTGGTAACAGGCAGCTGAGAGCGTTTCAGACCTGATCAGCTGCTTAGCTGCCAGCTCTCTCAGGAGCCCTCATTAACACACAGAGAGAGAGACACACACACAGAGAGACACACACACACACAGAGAGAGAGACACACACACAGAGAGACACACACACACACAGAGACACACACACACACACACAGAGAGAGACACACACACACACAGAGACACACACACACAGAGACACACACACACACACACACAGAGACACACACACAGAGAGAGACACACACACACACACACAGAGAGAGACACACACACACACACACACACACACAGAGAGAGAGACACACACAGAGACACACACACACACACACACACACAGAGACACACACACACAGAGGCACACACACACCGAGAGAGAGACACACACACACACACACACAGAGGCACACACAGACACACACACACACACGGTTGTGTTTTCATGACTTGTGGGGACTTTAATTGCCTTCCATTCATTTTCTGCAGCCTAATCCCAACCATCCCAACCCCTAACCCAAAAACAGCAATGTCCCCCAAAGAAGCAGTGGTCCCCACAAGGATATAAAAACCTGGTACACACACATGACCAGAAAACGTAGAAGAAGAGATCAGAGATCAGAGATCAGAGCATCTGTCTGCATCCTGCAGCTTCTCCACATTTCCATCCAGGCGACACGGATCAGTTGGTTTTTGTTTCAACAGAAGGAAGTCTGATAGTTTGTGTGTTTTGTTTCCTGCCTCTTTCCTTCTGCTGGAAGAGTTTTACAGTTGGATTCTGGTCTGAACTTTGAATAGACCATTCTAACGTAAGCAGTAAATCAGATAACTGAGAGATAACTCTTAAGTTCACTTAATCTTTCAAGACAACGTTCTTTTACATTCTTGACAAGCCGCCATTTTGAAAAATCCTTTTAACATTTGACACCCAAGCAAAGTAGTTTATACTTTATTTATTTTACTGAAGTCTTATCTGGCAGTTCTCCATGTCTGGTTCTAAAATTACTGCTTTGAAATTGAATTTTGAGACATAATCCATTTTATTTATTGTTTCATTTACTTTTATTTGTAAAACGTTTTCCAGTTCCAGTTAAACGTTCTTTGGAAATGAAAGTTAATCGATTTTTGTGTCCTTGCATTCTGCTTTTATCATAATATTAGTTGAAAATGATCTCAAAATGACAATATTATTGTTTATCGTGATAATTTATCATTCAGTAACATTTGTTATCAGGCCCTTTCTGACCCATAGATCTGATCTAATCCATCCCATAATATCTCTGGCTGTCCTCTGGTTTTCCTCCTGGTTTGTCATGATTTATCTCTGCCCATCTTCCCACAGCATGACGCTGCCACCACCATGTTTCACTATAGAAAAACTGTTTGATCTTTGTTCCACTCTTAAAAATCGGTGATTTTTCCGTCATAAACGAACTTCCCCTGCCGGCAGATCCCTTCTCCTGATCCCGGATCTCCTGATCCCGGATCTCCTGATCCCGGATCTCCTGATCCCGGATCTGTGCCGCTGACGTGGCCTCTGATGGTTTTTATTTCAAGAACTTTGAAAATCATGTTGATTTTCCATAAACCTGATTTGTTCTGCTTTGAGCTGGTCTGTCTGTTAAACTAGTGTCTCTTTGCTCTGCCTGATGGTGACACTGGAGTGCCGCCGCTCAGCTTTGTCAGACTCATGAATTATGGACGGACCGGACCGGACCGGGCTCGGTTACCTGCCAGCTGGGCTCTGCGTGTCGGTAGTAGCAGAAGTTGTCTGTGATCCAGCTGTAGATGGTGGACAGCGTGACTTTGGGCTGCTTGCTGGCCTGCATGGCCATGCAGATGAGAGAGGCGTAGGAGTAGGGCGGCTTGACCTTCGGGTTGCTCCGGTAGTCCACCTCCACCTGCGGGCCCGCCTGGACCGGGAAGCCCGGTGCGGGGAGCGGGGAGAACCGCGGCGGAGGCGCGGCGGTAGTCTGGCTGCCGGAGGTTGCGGGGCTGCCCGGGTACCGCGGCATCCCGGCGGCCGCAGCCGTGTCCCCGGCCGGCGGGCTGGACGGAGAGTCGGTCCCGGTTCTGGGGAAGCCGAGCCGCCTGAGGAGCAGGTGGTGCTGGGAGGACGGGTACTCCGGGCCGGTACCGGCCAGCCGCTCCGGGTCGGCGCTCAGGATGGAGAAGTTCTGTAGCCAGTGGAGGCTGGTGAGGCTGTCATCCAGGGGGGCAGAACCGGAACCGGCAGCCTGGTCCAGCCACCTCTCCCTGAACCTGTTGGCGGTGTCTGGGCTCGATAGGACGGGCATCCTGCTGTCTGCGCGGTCTGGGGCGGCGGCGGGATTTTAGCGCATTTAAAGTTCGGTTCCCCGCTTCAAAATGTGAAAAATAAACAAGAAAACCCCAGAAAAGTTCACGAATAAAAAGAATCACATAAAACAGTTCAGCAAACAGACCGGATCCCTGCCAGAAAGACCCGAACCTGGAAAACCTCCCGGTGCCAGAATGGAGAAGATGCTGCGAGGGGCACCTGTTGCTGCTGCGCTCCTCCTCCACTTCCCTCTGTTTCTCTCTCTCTCTCTCTCTCTCTGCTTCTCTCTCTCTCTCTCTCTGTTTCTCTCTCTCTCTCTCTCTCTCTCTCTCTCTCTCTCTCTCTCTCTCTCTTTCTCTCTCTCTCTCTCTCTCTCTCTCTCTCTCTCTCTCTCTCTCTCTGTTTCTCTCTCTCTGCTTCTCTCTCTCTCTCTCTTTTTGGGGGGGGGGGGGGGAGCGGCATCAGGATCCGTTCAGTACCGTAAACCGGCCCGTACCAGTCGAACCGAACCGGCTTCACTCATCCAGACTCTTTATCTGGATGTTAAAATATTGAAAATAATCTGACTTGTCATAAGTTGGTGGTTGCATCGCTCCGCCGCCTGACTGGCCGCTCAGATCATTAACTGCTGTTGAACTAGAGGAGCTTCTGGCCTGAAACGAGCTGAACTTTGACCTCTAGCGCGCTCATGGCTGCCGGACTGGCGCTAAAATGCGCGCCATGGTCCCGCTCAGATCGGACATTTTCTTCACCTTTAGTGTTTCTGTAATTAGATCAACTGAACCAGTGATATAAACTTTTCAGCATGTGAGTCACAATCGTCTCATTGGAAGCGACTGAGCCACAAAATGCAGATATTTCATCTGTTTTAATAAAAATTTAGTATTTTTGCAAAACATTTCTTATGACAGTTATAAACAAAACATAATTTCCTAATAAAGAAATAAAATAAAGAAGTCTGATGTTATGCTGTAATGCAGATCAGTCCATTAAAAATACGAATGAAACAAAACAGAAAACATTTGAACGTTTTCATCATATAAAATGTTTTCTTTAAAATTGAACTGCATTGACTGATATTTTATCATGTTTCATGGAGTTTACTTTAATGCCCCCCTTTAAAGTATATATAGTTATATAAAAAATATGACCTTGTTTTTCTACAAACTGTTATGTTAACATAAATGTTGAATATTTTGACTTCGAAGCGTTTGTGAATTAAAGATCAGTTCGGGTAAGTTAAATCAACTAATTTAACATAAATGATTATTGTTCACATATCAGGAAATAGAAACATAAAACAATACGTGGAGCGAAGTCGAGCCGTCATTTATCTGACGTCATACGTGACGTTCAACGTTCAAAAGCGTCAATTCGTTTCTCATCGAGTCAGAATTAAATCATTTTCTACAACTACGATGATAATTTACAGAGGATTTTAATGATCCTCTGTAAGTTTTACATCGCAGTAAAACTGTGACGTTTTACTCACAGTTGGTTACATCGCTTCATAAACATGAGAACACCGCCACCCTGTGGATCATTTCTGCACTGCAGTTGAACCACAAATAAACTCAGAAAAGTTCGGATCCCTTAATTCATCAGAGATGCAGATTTCATCATTAAATGCCCAATTAAAAATGTTCAGACGCTCCTTTAAGCTGAAATTCACCAGCCAGGGCCCAGACTCCTCCTCTGTCAAACATCTGATGGATGACGAATGGAAAATGTGTAAAACTGTTTTTCTGTTGAATGTGGTTCTGATCCACAGTTGGTCCAGTCAACTGAAGAATATGAAACATTATAACCCTTACTGAACTCTGATCGACCTGCTGGATATTACTTATTGTAGTACATTAACAGCGTTTTGTTGCAGCAAACCTTTGAGCAGTTTATGGAAAATTGCTTAAATTATCAGTACAATATGCTGAGAAACGTCACGAAAAATATCTCCTTTTCGTACCCAAAAAGGTCAGATATGTACAGAAGGCAATTAGGGCCAATAAAAAAGATAAGAATTCTGGCAAAATTGCAAAAACTTTCTCAGCATTTTGACATTTTTTTCTAAGAATTTTAACGATTTTTATCAGCATTATGATCAATCAGCCATTTTAAAAATAATTTTAATAATTTCAATCTATTATGTTGCTCTAGAAAGTGAGTTCTCTTCCTGCAGTTTGCATCTTCCAGCTGCCCTAAAGTCAGAATTCACGATGCCTTTTACCACCAGCAGGTGTCTCCGTTTCACCTGTTTATCCCTCCCTGGTGTCATAGCTACTACCGACCACAATGTTTACAATTACATTTTCCCACAATGCTGAGCGGCTCATGTTGTGCCATTTTTTCTTTTAGTGTTAAAGAAAAAACCGCAGCAGAAGCGGAAGTGTCTGCTGTCTTCAAACTGTCATCAGTATTTGTAAAGTCATAATATTATAAGGATTATGTAATAATCTGACAGATTAAAGGTATCAAAGCATCAAAGCCTTTTTAAGAGGAACAAGTCATGATTATGTGCTAAAAATACAGTGCTGTTGTTAGTAAGCAGCATTTTTAAAGTGAGTTTTGACAAAGTCATAAAGATGTTTCACTATATGAATCATTTCTCTGTCAAACCACTTCAGACAAAAAGAACATGTCAGGAAACTGTTAACAAAGAGTAGAAGCGGATGTGTGCGGTTGCAGCACCGCAGCAGCCCCGCAATACGTGCATCAGAAGCGCTGCAGCGTCTCGGCGTTCCCCGCATCGAGCCACGCCGCCGTGCGGGAGCGGCGAGGAGCGGACACGACGCCGCGCAGCGCCGCGGCCTAATTTAACTCCGGCCCGTGTAATTGGTGCTGCTGGACTTGTTTACCATATTTGGCAAGCGGCTGACAACAGCGCGTGGGAATTGGACGAGCGAGGCCGTCATTCACAAAAGTCAACCTTCTGGAGTTTTTACAAACAACGCACATGCTCATGGGATTTGTAGTCCAAAACAAACGCCTATCGCCGGAACGCATCGATTTCTGGGTGATTTTTGACCGATAAAAGCGTCATATTTTAAAAATACTTTAATTTTATAACTTATGTTGGTTTAATTCATATTTAAAGATGAAGATTCTCCCTCCTTTAACCGCCACCAGACAACTACACCCAGGCCGGTGGTTGACGGCCTACAACTCCCATCTGCGCATGCTCTGCGTGGATTGGCTGCGTCATCGTGTCAATCAGGCCCCGGTCCTTCCTTACCGCTCCTACAGTAAATATTTGTGTTTGCTCAACCGGCTGTAATGGTGGACGAGTGAGGCAGAGTGCGACGGGATCCAACAAAAGAGCAGAAGGAGGAGAAATAAACGCCGAGTGTTGGAAAGTCTGCCTCAGAGCCAGCTGCCGCCACTTTTAGGAGGAAACGGACGGACTTCGGTCGAAAAATGGATGAACTCAAACATCAAGTGATGATTAACCAGTTCGTCCTGACGGCGGGTTGTGCGGCAGACCAAGCGAAGCAGCTCTTGCAAGCGGCACACTGGCAGTTTGAGGTGAGAGCAGCCTGGGGGAAGCGGCTCGGCTCGGTTCGGTTCGGCTGGGTTAGCATTAGCCGCTCCGCTAATGTTTATCCTGTCCGCTTCTACAGACACTTTATAGAAACAAACAACAAAAAACCGTTTCTACTTCAGACCGACCGTTCCTTCAACCACATCCAGAACTTTTCGGAACCGCCATGGTTGTTTAGTTCGGGCTTAATAAAACAGTGTGAAGTACAACGACGCACCGCACAAGGTTAAGGCGCATCCAATTAGACTTTACTCGAGATTAAATACTATAATCCGACAGCCGAGGCCAGAGTACTATTACGCAATAAAGATGACCGCCGTGTTGTACAGACTGGCCTACAAACGAGCCTTCTGATGCAATATAATACATACTTTACAAATGTTTACACTAACCAGGTTCATTGACTTATTTACACTCTTTGTAAGATGAATGAACCTAAATATGTGGTTTAAATCCGTATTTCCACCCATAAACTGCAGTGTTGTGTGTTTCCTTTTCAGACTGCCCTCAGTGCCTTTTTTCAAGAAACAAATATTCCATATGGACATCATCATCAAATGGTGAGTTATGACAGAAACCCGCCCGTTCTGAATCCGTTTCCGGCCGAACCGAGGTCCGCCGGCCAGCCTGTAGTTTCTGGTGCGATGGGAGCCGCAGAGGGAGACGATGTTGTACTAACAATAACAAAGCACATGTCGGCCATGTTGTGAGCTTCCAGAAATAAACACAGCCAGGCATGCAGCTCCGGCAGCGGCCACAGCGAGCAGGCAGGAGGAGGGACACTGTGTACATTCACCACAACTTCACTGGGCTGGAAGTATGCGCTCCGACATGCTGGAGAGTCAGAACTAAAATCACTTCATGGTTTCTGACTCATCCAGAAATCTTTTCATTTAATAACAGTTAAACCTGAAGATAGAAGAAAAGCAGCTCTTTACTGTGAGGGAGCAGTGGCTGTAAAACTGGATGTTTCTATGTTGAAACAAGGACTGAATGATTATGGATTTCCGTTTGAAGCCTTCTGTAGTTCTTGTGTGGAGATTAACTCAGTTGGCGTTTCCAACCGTCTGACGGAGTTTTACTCAGACACCAAGAAGCTGCTAGGATTTCACATCCAGAGTTTCCTCACAGAGTTTCTGCTTACAACTGGAACGATTAATCAGATTCATCAGTGATTGAAATAAATCAGCTAATTTAGTAATAAATTAATTACTAACTGGATCATTCAGACTCTAGAAAATGCTGTTTTCTGACAAAACAACACATGGAGCAGTAATTTAACCAAAACTGTTCAAAATATATAAACATCTTGCATTTCACATCACAGACTTTCTTTATCTGTAAATATGTCTGCCAGAACTCCTCTGGTCCAGTTTCATCCTCACCTGGTTCTCATTGTGCAGATAAATCTCTCCGTCTCATTTCTGCTCCAGTCAATCAGTTGATCAATAATAATCCCAGATCAGCTCTGCACTGAATCCATGGTAGAAGGATTTTCAGCTGCAGATTCATCATTTCCAAAAGGAAATGAATTTAGTTTGTTTGGGTTCTTCAATGTATTACTAATATTGTAAAATAAATTTAGATGTTACATGAAAAATATGGATGATAAGACGATTTTATTTTATTAATCGTTAGAATAATTGACTTATTAAAGTAATTATCAGCTGCTTCCTTTCTGTTATCTACTGAAAATCTTCTCCTTTTGTTTGAAACATTTATACAGAATAAAGTTTTTCACTCTGTGACCCCAGAGACAGTTCAGCTCTTTTCCACCTGGTAGAGAGATCATGGTTATTATAACAATAATGATAAGAAGAAATTCTTATCAGCCAAACGGTGATTATTGGATCTGTTTCCAATCAGCCTGTGTGTGTGTGTGTGTGTGTGTGTGTGTGTGTGTGTCAGGAGTTTTTGATGCTTCATCTGTAATCTGGTTTCTCTGAGCCTCAGGAGTGTGTGCAGCGCTAGTGGCCCTTTGGGCCCCTGGGGGCCTCACTAGGAACTATTTAATAATCAGGTTATTTCAACAGGAACAAACCTACATGAATAGATTTTAATTGAATCAGTAAAGAGTTTATGAATCTATTTAAACTAAAAACTCTCCTCATGTAAACCCAGATGAATATTATATTCCATGTTTTCCTCTGAACTCCCTCATCATGATGCTGCTCAACTTTTTATTGTTAGTTTTGAGCAGAACCGACATGTTGACCCGGTTTCACTGTGTTCTGGCTGCCTCAGCCAATCACACGCAGCTTCCTCCTTTATTATTATTATTATTATTATTATTATTATTATTATTGTTGTTGTTATAATTGGTTCCTGAAGGAAACGGATTCTGCGGGAAACGCCCGAGTCGTTTCGCTGCTGCAGCCAAACGGCGATCTGCTGCAGCTCTGACTGGAGCATGTTTGGGTTTTTTCTGGTGGGTCCAGTTAATCAGGTTCAGTCACTCCTTCCAGTAAGAGCCGATCTGATTGGCTGTCAGCGGTCTGCGTCGCATCCCAAGCAGCAGCAGCCAATGCAGTCTCTGCCTCACTGCAGACATTGTTAGAAACCAGATCGTTTAACTGACTTTACAGATTGAGGTGAATTTTGGCTCCTCCTGCTGTGGCTCTGATTGTTTGTCTGAGTTAAATACAAACCGAGGAGTCCAGCAGTCGTTGGGTCTGGTTGTGGTTAGATGGAGGAACCAGAATCTGTGAGCTCAGCAGAACGGTGCAGAACTCCTTCTGGACTTTGGTCGGTGCTTCTGGACCTGCAGAGACCAGCTAACCGTTAGCTGAGTTAGCTAACCGTTAGCTGAGTTAGCTAACCGTTAGCTGAGTTAGCTAATGGCTCTTATCAGTTTATTCTGATGATTAATCAGATAAAAATTACAACATTCTTCAGATTTATTTAAACACTTAAACTTATTATATCCAATATTAGAAAAGCATAAAATGCAATAAATAATTCAGTTAATTTTTTGCATAAAAAATGTTCTAGCATGAGAATCAATAACTTTTCATCTGCAGATAAAAATCCTTTAAACATCAACATGAGAAACGCTGAACATCGATTCAGAGGAGAGATTATTTATTGATTAGCTCATCAATAACTGGATGCAAAATTTGATCAATATGAGATTTTTCTTTTTTCTTTTTACAGAATTTGAACCAGATGAAGCTGAAACTGAACTGACATTCTGGTAGAACAGATTTACTGACTACGAATGTTTTTTATCGTAAATGTAAAATATTTCTATCATTGTTCGGCAGGGGAGTCCAAAGTGGGTCCTGGAGATCCTGGAGATCCTGGAGATCCTGGAGGTCCTGGAGGTCCTGGAGGCCCGGCATCCTGCTAACCCCTAACCCTCTCCCTGGTTTAACACACCTGCATCAAATGAGGCTCATTAGAGGCCTGAGGAGAACATTGACCTGCTGAGGAGGTTGTTTCTGCCACCAGGGAGAGAATAAAACATGCAGGATGCCTCCAGGGCCTCCAGGACCTCCAGGACCTCCAGGACCCACTTTGGACACCCCGGATTGTTCGGTTTTGTTTTCATGACTGTGTTGTTTCAGAAAATGGCTTTTTTAGAGTCGTCACGCTCAGTTAATGATTGATAGATCACTACATTAGTTTAGAGCTGAAATCATTGATCGATTATGAAATTAGTTGAATTCAGTGACAGATTAAATGTTTGGATTTTATCTGCTCATGTCGGCTTTTATTTGGAATGTTTCGCTGTAAAATACGTGAACTTCACCTTTTAGAAACAAAATGCATGTCGTGTGAAATCTCATAAACATTCCTGGGTTTGTTGGCCTGTTTACTGTATTATTACTAACAATAATAATTATAATAGTTTCTTTAAGATGAGCCGGGGAGTTTTTATCTGCAGAGCATTTGAGGAACGTGACTCAGAGGATTTGTGTGTTTTCTGCTATTTAAGGCTGTGTGTGTGTGTGTGTGTGTGTGTGTGTGTGTGTGTGTGTGTGTGTGTGTGTGTGTGTGTGTTCTCACATTTTAAAGAGCCACTGACTCTTTCCTGCATGTGTTTTTTCCTGACTTTTTCACTTCAACATGACAAACGGAGAAAAACAAACCGTGGCGTTGGAATCAGTTCAACAGTTTAGTGTTAAATTCGTCTCCATCACTGAGGAAGACGCAGGAGATGCTGCAGCTCTGCAGCTGAAACATCCAAACCAGGCAGAAGGAATCGCTGCTGGTGGCTGGTGCAGATATTTGGATGAATTAATATTTTTACAGCCTGATTCAGGTCAAACAGCCGTTGAGAAGAATCTGAGATTAAAGTGAAGGAAAAACTGTGAATGTAAAGAAGTTAAACTATCATGAAAGTTTATTTACGTGCAAATACATTCTGCGCGTTTTCAATGAATCAGTTTTAAAGAATATCTTCCTTTTGGCATGTGGGGAAAGTTAGGAGAGACAGACGGGCAAATCTGAGTTTGAGGAAAAAACTAACCAGATGCCTCATTTAGAAACGCTGCTGCTGCTGTTGCTGCTGCTGCTGCTGCTTCAGGCCAGTCCTCTGACCCGACACACTCAGTTGGACTGCAGCAAGAGAAAAAGCCAACCTGGGACTGAGGATCAGAAATGACGCTGTCTGCAGTGTCTGAGTCGTTGCTGCAGCATCGTGCTGCAGCTGCTGCACTATAAACACACAACATTCAGCTATTTATTTAAATTAGTGGAGGAACTCAATGAAAATCTTCTGAAGCAGAAATGAATCCATCTCTGCTGCTAGCAGATCGCAGGCAGAACCTCAGCGAGTAAAATCTACCTGGTAACATTTTGTGTTTTTGCAGTGCAGCAGTCATGATCTCATGATCCTCATTACTTATATTGGTTATGAAATATTGCAGCTGCTGACTCGGCCTGCTTTCATCACTTCATTATCATCATTTTCAGACTTTGTGTCCAGATTCTCCTGCTGCTCAATTATGATGCATTCTGGGTAAAATGGGACTGTCAGACTGCAGACGCTTAGAAAGCGATCAGATTTATAGATCTGGATCGGGTCGATCAGATCGCCGTGAAAACGGCTGATCTGGTCGCATTGGGCTGCAGCACTCAGAGGCTACAGCACTAACCGTTTGTGCTGCAGCCTCCGTGTTTCCATGATTGATCTTCTCCATGTCGGTCAATCCTTCTGGAGCTGAATGTTGGTCATGTGACCAGAGCAGGAAGTGGCTCGGCTGTCTGGGGTCATGTGACTCCATCATGTGACTCAGGCAGAGAAACGAAGCACAGAGTTTCCTTCATGTTCCTGAGAACATGTTGGTACCAGAACCAGAACAGAACCTTTTAATGACTCGCTACATTAAACTGATTCATGTCTGATTTTATCACAATTAATGGAAACGGCAACTTCACTTTACTGGAACATCAGCAGAATATTGGCAAAGGCTGTAAACTCCAGGCGGCGTCGACTGGACTGGACTGAACGGGTCGCCCCTCCGTCGCAGTACGACTGGAACGCAGCGTTATCATTATTCCTCTGAGCTGGAGGGGTGACGTCACACTGTGTGTGTTTGTCAGTAAAGGCTTCAAC